AGTAAAGGAGTTTAAGCATGCGTGGGATAGGCATAAGGCTATCCTATCTATAAGATAAGGCCAGGGACTAATGAAAGTATTTAGAAAATTGGGCAGACTAGATGGGCCGAATGGTTCTTATCTGCCGTCACATTCTATGTTTATATGTTTCTATGTTTGTGTTGGCTGTGTGTAATGTCGGTATCTGTGCTGGGTTACCGTGTTTAATGTGTATGGTAATGAACTGTGTCTTACTCCCTTCTGCATTAGGCAGGGAGAGGGGCTGTAATTCCTGGTGGTCCGGTGGGGGTTAATCTCTCTGGTAGTCCACTGGTGGCCAGATAACATACGCAGGCAATTAAGGTAGATGGAGGCAGATTGATTCCTGTCTGTCTCCGGGGTCCTAGGCAGCTGTCTAAGGTAGTCTAATGGCTATGTGGCTACTGTCAATTTAATTCAGTTCCATTCATTCTATGTGACTGAGAGTTCTGAGGCTGGGATTTACGAGATCAGGAATATCCCATACAGCAAATTGGGAGTTCTGATTGGTGCTGCTTCTTCCTGGTATGGGAAGGGTCAACCAGCTCACTGTATTTACACTATATTTACATTACGTTTACACTGTATTTACACTATACCCGGTATTTACACTATATTTACACTGTAATTATACTGTATTTACATTTTATTTTCACTATATTTACACTGTAACGGGACCTGGGTAACCAAGCTGGTTTTCCCTTTTGGTTAGAGTAGGTCAGACCCATTTCCCCAGTAACAGGACGAGACACAGTTCCAGGATACAATGTTTGACAATGTTTATTTGGGCACACAGCTTTTTATGCACACACCCCCACAGGGGGTCTCCATCCAGCACACACACACATTCAGGAAGGGGGCTGGGAAACTGATAACCATCTCCCACTCTGGCAGATACTAACAGGACACAGGGACATGCATGAGTACACTTCACATACGGCGGGTGAACTTTGGGGCTCGGACCCCCAGGACAGGGAGGGTGTACAGTGTTACACTTTACATGGGGAAATAGCCCCGGCTCCCATCTGGGATCCCTGCAAAAAGTGGGGTGATCGGATGTACAGAGCCGGAGATATCAGCTTCGGAATTCTGGGGCTCAATGGAACTGTTACATCCCTGGAAACAGTTCCATGGTGTTGCTTGGTTTAGTCCGGTGAATTCATACTTTGCACCTAAACCAAGCAACGACCAATCAGCCGAATTGGCGTGAACCAAATCGCGCCAATCAGCATTAGGGGAGGATGGAGTTTCGCTGCCCAATCCAAAAAAAGGGAGCAAAACCCGATGTCACCATTTCGCTGAAAAGCGCAAAACTTATTTGCGCCACTCAGCGCCCAGGAACAGGAGGGCTTCGCCGCCCAATCAGATGGAAGGGTGCAAAACCCTGTTAGAACAAGCACTCCTCTTTGGATTGATCACTCGCTCACTGCGGTGACCAGGCAGCGGTTTATTCGTGCAGGACAACCAGGAGAGTGGCGCGAACTCAGTTTGAATGGCACTCCCTCCTATTGGTCGGCACAGACTTCCATGCGGCCAGCGGGAGCCCTGCAGTCGCAAGACCGACTCACAACCCCCTGGCTCACGTCCCTCTCCTGGGCAGCCACGAGCGTAACCTTGTAGCTCCCAGGTGAGGGACAGGGATGAGGGACTATGGGTAGGACAAGGGAAGGGAGGAGTGATTATAGCTCTGTTGGGAGCAGGTAGGGTGATCCCTGACACCGGCATCAAAGACAGCGTACACAGGCCGTTCGGAAGACGAATGTTCCCCCTGGTGAGCGTTCAGTAATACGAACCAGCGGCCATCCAGGCCATCCAGCGCCCCCAGTCAGTCAAAAGGTGTAGTGCAGGTTTTTAAAGGGAAAATTATATTAAAAGGAATAGGAAATAGGGGAAACACAGATCCTAGTAGGCACATCCACATGCAAAAGAAACAAGGCAATTCACAGTTTAGGCAATCCCGCCACACACTGTATTTACACTTTATTATACAAACGTAGCAGGGACTGTTTCTTTCATTATAAACATTACTGATTTTGTTTTATAATCTTTTAGTATTTAATCAGTTTCTTGCTATAGTTTACTTTTTGGGAATTAAAGATAATCTCTCGACAATATTTTGTCCTATATCTCCTATATATACCAATGTTTCTCATTTTAAAGCTGTTTAGCCAATAGAATAAAGATTACTTAATCATCTGACCGACCTGTGAACATACTGCAGCAACTGTGCATCAAGACAACGAGTTTCGTTTGAAAATGTCAGATCCGATTGGCGGCCGGCATCACTCACACCCAGCAGTTATGGTTATCACAATTGGTCACTGTGGTTTCATGCGCATATCTTCAGCCGTCATTATAGATAAATGAACTGAGGTTGGTAGATGGAGATACTGATAATGTGAATGTTGTTTAAAGCTGACAGATTTCACTGAATCCAACACATTCACGGCAAACCAGTACGCATTTATTCACTAATCTCTGAATTGCTCTGGACAACATCTCCCAGAATCCCTTGCCACCCATGGACTGGTGAAGTATCATGGGGGATTTAAGCCAATTTTTCACAATTTATAAAGGACCCCATGTAGGCCTACAAACATAATTATATAAATGCTAATTAATTTATAACCTGCGCAAACACCAATATAAACCGTTTTAGGTTAATATCTACGTTTATGAATGTAGTAAACTTGACAAGTATAGTAAAATACACCATCCTGTGCCTTTACTTGGATAATCAGTTCCTTAGTCAATGTATTTCATTATTTTGCACCCAACTCTTTAATTCTTTATATTTTATGTTGTTTGAACGTCCGATGAGTCTGCGTTGGTACATTACGTGCGTTGTGTAAAAACATGATGTGCCGGTTTCACCTTGAGTTTAATCTAACTACTTTCTCTTTCACTTCTAAGACAGATTTCCAAAATAATACATCATTATATATAGACGCTGGACATATTAATAGTTCTATATAAATAGCAGGTGCACTCGTTTTCTGTACTATTCACAAGGTAAGAAGTATAACTTTGCTACCAACTCTGACGTGTTTCACTGGATGTTTGGGCAGTGCATGTAAAATGCTGCCCTGCAATATCTGGGCTCTATGTTTTGTTCTGTGTACCCCACATACAGGGCCAGATTAAGAGCCCAGTGGGCCTGGTGCTGACAATTATGATGGGGCCTAATTACAGAATCTTATCAATCAAAAACACTAAAACAGTCATACCTCCGAAGCGTCATGTATCTGATGGAGAAGGTGTTGGAGGGAAACTCAAAGGATGCAGCTATAAGAAAACACATACTCTATCCTAATCTCTCTCTAATTTATGCTTTCATCTTTCAAGTAAATCCATACCCCCTAACGTGTCCAGAACGTGACCAGAACTGCGAAAAGGGGTGAACATGCCCAAAAAAGGGGGCAGGTTTATCCAAAGAATTGGAAGGCCAACCTGGCATCAGTGTCCCTGTGTATCACAGTGTCAGTGTCCCTATGTCGCCCAGTCCCCTAGTCTCCCAGTGACCTAACTTCTCCCAGTGTCCCCATGTCTCAGTGTTTCCCCTGTCACTAGGATACTAAGAGACCCGGGGACACTGAGACACTTGGGGACACTGGGAGGCATGGGGGCACTTATGGATATAGACATGGGGACACTAGGAGACATGGGGACACAGAGACATTTGGGGACACTGGGGTTAATGGGGACACAGACACTAGGGACACAGAGATAGGGAGACACAGACACTGGGATACATGGGGGCACTGAGACATTTGGGGTCACTGAGACACAAGGGACACTGGCTGGGAGGCATGGGGACACTGATATACTTGGGGACACTGGGAGACATGAGGGCACTTGTGGACATAGACATGGGGACACTGGAAGACATGGGGACACTGGGAGACATAGGGACACTGATACATTTGGAGACACTGGGAGACGTGGACACTATTGACACTGAGACACTAGGGACACTGGCTGGGAGACATAGGGACACATGGGGACACTAGGGACACTGGCTGGGAGACATGTAAACACTGGGAGACATGGGGACACAGACATTTGGGGACACTAGGGACACTGAGAGATATGGGGACACCGTCACTGGGAGACTAGGGGACACTGGGAGCCATGGGGACATTGGAGACACTAGGGACACTGGCTGGGAGACATGGGGACACTGGGAGACATGGAGACACTGCGTCCCTAGTGTCTTCGTGTCTCCCAATGTCCCTATGTCTCACAGCGTCCCCAGGTGTCTCAGCGTCTCTATGTCTCACTGTGCCTCCTAGTGTCTCAGTGTTCCTAGGTCTCACAGTGTCCCCTAGTGTCTCAGTGTCCCCATGTTTACCTTCTGCCTTTCTACTCATCCCTCACTTCCCTGAGCTGTAGTCTGTCTCTGCAGGCTGGGAGCTGCTGTCTGAACTCTCTGTGCGATGTAGCTGCCCCCCGCGGATCAGTAAGTAGAGAGAGGTAGGGAGGGATATGCTGTAACTTCCGATCCCTGCCTCTCTCCACACACAGTGACCCCTACTGGCTGGTGCTGGTGTTGCAGAGTAATATCTGTTTATACTAAGAAAAATTTCTGCATTCGTATTGCTGGTATTACTGCAATACTGGCAAGCCAGGCAGCCTCAAATACCAACTGTGCCAATAAAATACTAGTCAGGTGGCATACATAAGAATAGTGTTTAATTATCAACATTCTCATATGAAATCTGTCAGTTTATCTACAATGTTCCGTACGCCAGTCTGTGCCCTGGTGTAGAGCTGTGTTAATGGACACTGCAGGATCTAAGAGGGACAGTAAGAGAGGCATGCAGGAAGAGGGACTAGCAAGGAGAAACTGTTCAATGGGCGATTTGGCAGGAGGGATAGAATGTACAGTTTAAAAAACATTAATTTCTGCAAAAACTATACAACAGTGGAAAAGCCTTGAACATGCTAATAATTGGACCAAATGCATAGACTGGTGTTGGTTTATGGAGACTGGTGTTGGTTTATGGAGATTGGTGTTGGATTATGGAGACTGGTGTTGGTTTCTGGATACTTGTGTTGGATTATGGAGACTGGTGTTGGTTTATGGAGACTGGTGTTGGATTATGGAGACTGGTGTTGGTTTATGGAGACTGGTGTTGGATTATGGAGACTGGTGTTGGTTTTTGGAGACTGGTGTTGGATTATGGAGACTGGTGTTGGTTTATGGAGACTGGTGTTGGATTATGGAGACTGGTGTTGGTTTATGGAGACCTGTGTTGGTTTATGGAGACTGGTGTTGGATTATGGAGACTGGTGTTGGTTTATGGATACTTGTGTTGGTTTATGGAACCTGGTGTTGGATTTTGGAGACTGGTGTTGGTTTATGGAGACTGGTGTTGGTTTATGGAGACTGGTGTTGGATTATGGAGACTGGTGTTGGTTTATGGAGACTTGTGTTGGATTATGGAGACTGGTGTTGGTTTACTTGTGTTGGATTATGGAGACTGGTGTTGGTTTATGGAGACCTGTGTTGGTTTATGGAGACTGGTGTTGGATTATGGAGACCTGTGTTGGTTTATGTAGACTGGTGTTGGATTATGGAGACTGGTGTTGGTTTATGGAGACTTGTGTTGGTTTATGGAGACTGGTGTTGGATTATGGAGACTGGTGTTGCTTTACTTGTGTTGGATTATGGAGACTGGTGTTGGATTATGGAGACTGGTGTTGGTTTCTGGATACTTGTGTTGGATTATGGAGACTGGTGTTGGTTTATGGAGACTGGTGTTGGATTATGGAGACTGGTGTTGGTTTATGGAGACTGGTGTTGGGTTATGGAGACTGGTGTTGGTTTTTTGAGACTGGTGTTGGATTATGGAGACTGGTGTTGGTTTATGGAGACTGGTGTTGGATTACGGAGACTGGTGTTGGTTTATGGAGACCTGTGTTGGTTTATGGAGACTGGTGTTGGATTATGGAGACTGGTGTTGGTTTATGGATACTTGTGTTGGTTTATGGAACCTGGTGTTAGATTTTGGAGACTGGTGTTGGATTATGGAGACTGGTGTTGGTTTATGGAGACTGGTGTTGGGTTATGGAGACTGGTGTTGGTTTATGGAGACTGGTGTTGGATTATGGAGACTGGTGTTGGTTTATGGAGACTGGTGTTGGATTATGGAGACTGGTGTTGGTTTATGGAGACCTGTGTTGGTTTATGGAGACTGGTGTTGGATTATGGAGACTGGTGTTGGTTTATGGATACTTGTGTTGGTTTATGGAACCTGGTGTTGGATTTTGGAGACTGGTGTTGGTTTATGGAGACTGGTGTTGGATTATGGAGACTGGTGTTGGTTTATGGAGACTTGTGTTGGATTATGGAGACTGGTGTTGGATTATGGAGACCTGTGTTGGTTTATGGAGACTGGTGTTGGATTATGGAGACTGGTGTTGGTTTATGGAGACTTGTGTTGGTTTATGGAGACTTGTGTTGGGTTATGGAGACTGGTGTTGGTTTACTTGTGTTGGTTTATGGAAACTGGTGTTGGTTTATGGAGACTGGTGTTGGATTATGGAGACTGGTGTTGGTTTATGGAGACCTGTGTTGGTTTATGGAGACTGGTGTTGGATTATGGAGACTGGTGTTGGTTTATGGATACTTGTGTTGGTTTATGGAGACTGGTGTTGGATTTTGGAGACTGGTGTTGGTTTATGGAGACTGGTGTTGGATTATGGAGACTGGTGTTGGTTTATGGAGACTTGTGTTGGTTTATGGAAACTGGTGTTGGATTATGGAGACTGGTGTTGGTTTACTTGTGTTGGATTATGGAAACTGGTGTTGGTTAATGGAGACCTGTGTTGGTTTATGGAGATTGGTGTTGGATTATGGAGTCTGGTGTTGGTTTACTTGTGTTGGATTATAGAGACTGGTGTTGGTTTATGGATACTTGTGTTGGTTTATGGAACCTGGTGTTGGATTTTGGAGACTGGTGTTGGTTTATGGAGACTGGTGTTTGTTTATGGAGACTGGTGTTGGATTATGGAGATTTGTGTTGGTTTATGGAGACTGGTGTTGGTTTATGGAGACTGGTGTTTGTTTATGGAGACTGGTGTTGGATTATGGAGATTTGTGTTGGATTATGGAGACTGGTGTTGGATTATGGAGACTGGTGTTGGTTTATGGAGACTGGTGTTGGTTTCTGGAGACTGGTGTTGGTTTCTGGATGAAGACTTGTGTTGGATTATGGAGACTGGTGTTGGTTTCTGGAGACTGGTGTTGGTTTCTGGAGACTGGTGTTACATTATGGAGACTGGTGTTGGTTTCTGGAGACTGGTGTTACATTATGGAGACTGGTGTTGGATTATGGACACTGGTGTTGGTTTATGGAGACTGGTGTTGGATTATGGAGACTGGTGTTGGTTTATGGATACTTGTGTTGGTTTATGGAGACTGGTGTTGGATTTTGGAGACTGGTGTTGGTTTATGGAGACTGGTGTTGGATTATGGAGACTGGTGTTGGTTTATGGAGACTTGTGTTGGTTTATGGAAACTGGTGTTGGATTATGGAGACTGGTGTTGGTTTACTTGTGTTGGATTATGGAAACTGGTGTTGGTTAATGGAGACCTGTGTTGGTTTATGGAGATTGGTGTTGGATTATGGAGTCTGGTGTTGGTTTACTTGTGTTGGATTATAGAGACTGGTGTTGGTTTATGGATACTTGTGTTGGTTTATGGAACCTGGTGTTTGGATTTTGGAGACTGGTGTTGGTTTGGGACTGGTGTTTGTTTATATGGAGACTGGTGTTGTTCTAAGATTGAGTGTTGGATTATGGAGACTGGTGTTGGTTTGTTTGGTGTTGGTTTCTGGAGACTGTTTGGATTATGGAACTGGTGTTGGTTTATGGAGACTCATGTTGGTTTCTGGAGACTCTGGTGTTGGATTGGAGACTGGTGTTGGTTTATGTGTTGGATTATAGGGAAGGCTGGGTGTTGGTTTCACAGGAAGCTGGTGTTGTTCTGGAGACTGGGTGTTACATTATGGAGACTGGTGTTGGATTATGGGGAACTGGTGTTGGTTTATGAGCTGGGGTTTGTTTATGGAGACTGGTGTTGGTTTACAAACTGTTGGATTATGGAGACTGGTGTTGGTTTATGGAGACTGGTGTTGGTTTATGGAGACTGGTGTTTGGTTATGGAGACTGGTGTTGGTTTATGGAGACTGGTGTTGGTTTATGGAGACTGGTGTTGGTTTATGGAGACTGGTGTTCGATTTTGGAGACTGGTGTTGGTTTATGGAGACTTGCGTTGGTTTAAGGAGACTTGTGTTGAATTATGGAGACTGGTGTTGGTTTATGGAGACTGGTGTTGGTTTCTGGAGACTGGTTTGGATTATGGAGACTGGTGTTGGTTTATGGAGACTCATGTTGGTTTCTGGAGACTGGTGTTGGATTATGGAGACTGGTGTTGGTTTATGAAGACTTGTGTTGGATTATGGAGACTGGTGTTGGTTTATGGAGTGTACCATTTGACATTAAATAATCACTTTAGATTTTAGGTTTGTGTTTTCATTGTTTGATTCTGCCTCCAAGCAGTTCCAGGACTATCCCAATATCACGATTCTGTCTTGCTGTCCTAGGTCCCACATTTAGGGTAACTAGGAACTAGGAAACTGTCCCCACTAAGAGCAATGCAACCTTTTTTTAGGCAGAGTGAGTCCAGACAAGACCACCCAGTTTGGGCATTGCCAGTCACACAAGTAAAGTTGCTGACACTACTGTGTAGGTGCTCTCACCCTAGTCTCGCAGTCAGAACTCCCAATTTTAATATAGGATATCATTATATGACACCTATAAGCTAGAGCCTTGGAATCAAGATAAATTATATCACAGGACAGAGACTTGACAGATAAAGGGGAAATTAAGAGCAAATTAATGTCTCTAATTGAAAAGGATTGTGGTAAATGAATACGTGAGTGTATTTCAAAATATGGTTCTAATACAGGTCGCCATAGAAACCCAAACTTACTAATAATAATAAGAAGAAGAATACTCCCAATTCTAGCAGAGATTTCAGTCTGATGTACTGATTAAGATACCCCATTAACCCCAAGACAGGGATCGGTAGAAATCCCATGAAGTTGTCTGACTCCAGAATTAAAATAATTTATACATAAAATATTAGTGTTAGTGGTGATTAACATGATAATATTTTAAATGATTGTGGCGAAAGTGACCTCACCACTGGGTCCTGGAGAGGCCTGGTTGCTCGCCTGCTGCCTCAGGACTATGGTCCATGTGTTAAACATTTGTTTCTGCCTTGTAGAAAGGCTAGTTTGTGCCTTTCTACTATATCGTTCGGTAAATGGAATTTACTGAACAAACCCACGAACAGCCAGACCACCTACAGGGGGAGTGTGCAGGCAATTGACCAACCAGAAGCTGCGGATAAATTGGCGACCGCTTGGTGGCCGCCGTTCGTATAGTCGAACATGAGGCGGCCGCCATCTTCTTTTGCATAACGTGGTCAGCGGTGTTCGTTGACAGAATCACGGAACTAAAAACAGACACTATTCCAGGCGAACACCGCTGAAGTACCGACCTCCTTCGTCCTGTTCTCTTTCGTGTATACGAACGCCGTGTTGTTCGGGACTTTGGCCATGTGAACAGAGCTACCCCAGATACCTATCACATGGAGCCCATTCGTATGACGAAAGACTATTTGAAAGACTTTGGCTCCATGGCGATTGAACTGTATGTATGTGATCTGAGCACTGTTCGGTAATATTGTGCGCTCAGATCTAAGCTATCTGGGGATACGTTGATGTGCATGTTTCATTCGGTAGTTTCGGAATTATATATTTTAATGTATTTTGTATTTTCTTTGTAAAATGGAGTTTGTCCTCTATCCTCTGAGATAATTGAGTTACTTCCCAATTATCTCCAGGATAGAGAGGAGGAGGATCCTATACAGTTAGAGGGGAGTGTTTATGTCTGTAACACTGCAATTGGCTACTGTACTATTCTTGTCACAGTTTTCCACCAGGTCCCCTATGGGAGTGTCCACCTGGTGGAAGACCTGCATAAAAGGCGGGCATGTAGCCCACTTTACAATAAGAACAAAGGGGGAAGAGTCAGCGCTAGATAACAAACTGAAAGGCAGCAACCCAAAAAAGGGAATCCCTCAAGACCATAATCTAATTATCACAGCCAGAGAAATACAGTTTCATAAAACACATCACAGGGACCCCAAAACATGCAATAACCCCATAAACCACATATCCAAAATTCACCCAGATCCGTTCAGTACTTTGGAAAATACAGTTTAATGCAGATTCTGCAGAACATATACAGGCTAAATAAAAACAATCACTGTATAATGTGTCCCCTGCTGTATAGTCCAAAACCACCGCACGATGTCTCTGTGCAACAAATACTGGCGAGATGGCACCGTGTTGAAAAGTCCACACAGTGTCTGTGAGTTAAAATGGCCGCCATCCATTGTTCTCACCATGTGCTTCTGATACAGGAAATGGTGGCCACCCAGTAACTCCACAGTATGTCCCCAGATAGTTCTTAAAAGGGCCAGCAGCAGCACAACACAAATCCATTATGCCCAAATCATGTCTTTAAAGGGCCATACATCCCAGGGGCCATAGTCACATGGCAGGAGGCTGGCAACCAGGCTTCTCCAGTGCATAGTGGCGAGGTTGGTTCCGCCACAGTAAGTATTGGCTATTTTTCAACAGCGGGGAAAGAGACGATGCCTAAACCTGCTGAACTCTACAAATATTTTAGCAATCTGGAAGAGAGGAGTGATACAAGCAGGGTAAGGTATCGGAAGGAGCCCTGACCCGCGTTTCGGAAGCAGCTTTTCAAGGGGAATATAAATATTTTGACTGTATTGATTGAGCTATATATTAGAAAGGTGGTAGAAAGACTATCTCGCAGATAGACGGGACAATCTTCCTACCCACTCTACCCCCAAGAAAATACTTATGTGGCCTAAGAAGTGACACAGTAAAGATATGTCAGAAAAAACCTTGTGCCCCTTCATGTGCGAACCTCCACTTGGGTTGGTTTACCCCTAATCGCTATATTGATGATATCCTAATTGTATGGCAAGGTACCCCCCAACAGTTTTCTGATTTAGTGATACTACTTAATCAGAATGATGAAAACCTCAGATTTACATCAGAATTCGGAGGACGATCTATTAACTTCCTTGATGTGACTATTAACATTAAGGAGGATGGGACCTTCCAGTCTACCCTATTTAGAAAACAGACAGCTACCAACTCCCTTCTACACTGGGGGAGCCACCATCCGCGACCCCTCAAGGAGGGTATTCCGGTGGGCCAGTACCTTCGCCTTCGGAGGAACTGCAGCGACCTTGAGGATTTTAAAATGAAAGCTAAACAGCTCAGGATATACTTTAAAGAGAAAGGTTATCCTAATTGCTGCCTTAAGAAGGCATACAAAAGAGCGCTTCTCACTGAGAGTAATCAATTGTTGGGCGACCATCCAGTTAAGGTCGCTGATAAGGAATTGGGTACCATCCGTATGATAGCGACATTTGACACCGGTTGGACAGAGGTACGGAAATCTCTTGACAGATTCTGGTCTATCCTTTTAAATGATGTACACCTCAAGGAGGTTCTTGGCCCACAGGTCAATATCACAGCGAGACGTGGACGTAATATCCGAGATTTATTAGTACCGAGTTACTTTAGGAACACACCACAGACACGTCCCACCTGGTTGGGAACTCCTCCTTGTGGCACATACTGCTGTGGCAGATGTGTAGCGTGTAACTACATCTTAAAGGGTTCTAAGATAATCAGCGACAGTACAGGACAGGGGGCCTTTAAGGTCAAGCGCTTCTTCAACTGTAATACTAGGGGTTTGGTATACTTGTTGTCATGCT